GAATTTAATGTTTAAACATTTTTTTTTAATTCCTCTGAAAATAGAAATGGGACATCAGGTTAGAAGAGTCATATATAAAATAAACACAAATATTTACACTAATATGTTACAGCTAACATTTATAAATCAAATATTACAAGCATAACAGTAAAGACATTGCCAAATAGATGTTACCAGCTAAAAACAGTTTTCCTTCATTTTCCCCTCCCTACTTCTATTTATTCATATTGGTCATTTTCCAAATAATAACTATTATAAAATAAAATCAATAAATAAACTGGCAATTTTATGTCTCTAACTCCATACACTGTTTCCATTGCTTTATATTAATTATTTTTACTTCCTTAACTAATCCATTAAAGACACTTGTTTTCCAACATAATTCTATTTGTTTTCAAAAGTACTCCTTTAGTTAATTTTGTTATATGTTATTTTGGAACACTCTTTTACAAATCACTCAATTAAAAATTTATCTCTACTCACCTCAACTACTATATAATATACGCAATATTACCAATATAGTTTTCATTCTATCAGTCTATATCAAAAATCAAAATTATCTTCTTCATCAGCAGGAGGGGCCATGATTCTATATACTCATTATTTGTTTTATTTACTTAAACTCAGTATGGGGTCACATTCATATCAGGTTCCTCTAGAGCTGGTCACTTACCTAGCATATTTATAAGCCTATCTCCCCATCTATACAGAAAATGGCCCTGATTATGTCATAAGAGTTTCCGAATGTTACATGAAAGAGCAGATATATAGTGTTTTGCTTTGTTCAATATATGTTTAGTCAGAAAGAATTCAATACCATTTTTGCTTTCAACATCATTAGCAATTTTCCGATTTTCAATTTAAAAATAAAATACCAATTTTGGAACAAGAGAGCAGAAAGTCTGGTAGAAGTTTAGTTTTAAAAAATCAACAGTATCTTTTAGGAAACTATATTCAGTCAACACATAATCCCAGGCAGAAAGAAGTAGCAAGATTCTTTAAAAATCATTCATTAGCATAGGTCATTCTTATGGGCTGGGCAAAAAGGAAGGCAGTTTGCCATGGGCGTGGTGGCTCGTGCCTGTAATTCCAGTACTTTGGGATTACAAAGCTTGAGCTCAGGAGTTCAAGACCTGCCTGGGTAATGTGGCAAAACCCCGTCTCTACAAAAAGTACAAAAATTACTTGGGAGTTGTCGCACGTGCCTATAGTCCCGGCTATTCTGGGGGTTGAGGCGGGAGGATCACTTGAGCCCAGGAGATCAAGGCTGAAGGGAACCAAACCACTGCACTCTAGCCTGGGTGACAAAGTAAGACATGTATCTCAAAAAAAAAAAAAAAAAAAAAAAAGCCAGTTTCATATGAAAACAAAGAAACATTTATTCTTAAGAATCCACAACACTTGAGTGTACAAAAAACTGGCAACTAAGGACTTTTCCTCTTAATATTTGCAGCACATCAATATTATGGCTACAATTCTGATCTCAAAAATACCATGTATCTTAACTTTTAACACTGATAAAGGAAGACAGTAATAATTATAAAAATCAGACAAGAGTGTTAGAAACAGAAAAACAATATAGTTGAACTAATACTAGGAAGATGAGGATGAAAAACAAAAGTTCTGTGCAGTATCAGGAGAGAACCCAGGGTAGCTTACTGGCTTATAAAGTAACCAGGGCATAAAAAATCTCATGGTATGAAATTTATTGCTTAAATATCTTTCCCCCATTTTTATTTTATTTTAAATAAATGGATTCACTTACATTCTCTTTTAGAATTAGTAACTACAAAGTGTCTTGGAAATAGGAGGAGGATTTTCTTCAAGAATCTACATCAAAGCAATAGTCAAAGCTTCATTATCCATGCAAGTAGATGTGAGAAGAACATGATCACAAATGTTCCTACTGGCCTGTGTTAATTTGCCATTTACACTGAATGTTAATATCTGATTTTCATGGTTCAAATAATAACAAAGTGTTTTTTGTAGCACTTTAGTGCTCAAGTAATGTTAGAATGTTGTAATTTTTTAAAAATTCTCTGCTTATGTTCTGTCATATAAAATACACTATACTGAAAATAAACTGCATCACTTCTCAGACTAAAGAAACATACCCCCAAAATCCTTTCTCTCCCAATGAAACAAACCATACCTTAACTGGGGAAGTTAATTATATGCCTGGGTTTCACAAACCAACTGCTGTTGCCAGCTGCATTCTAAATAAGAGTAAATAGAGACAGTTTGAGCTGTCAACAAAAGACATAATTAAGTAGGAAAAATGCTGTCAATAAAACATAGCTACATTTAAAACTTTAGAAAACAAATAGGGCCAACCAGATTTGGACTGTATTGTATAGTCAATACATTCTTAACCACTAAGTAATTGGGTCAAGTAAAAGTAATCTGGAAAGGCTAAGGTCTTCAAACATATACATGGCAAAATAAGATTTTGTTCAAATATAGGTTAAAAGAGATTGTACAGCCTTTTTAAACTAGGGTTCCACAAGAAAATAAAGCCCCACATACAATTATTTGAGGGCTATTTCCCAATTCTGCTGAATTCTAGAAGCATTAGAGAAATGATTCATTACATACAATGAATGTGTTAGGTCTTAATTATCTACCAGAACTGGTTGAGAGGGGATTGTGGAACATCTTATGAACTACAAAAACTGACTGCATATTTTTCAGTTTGAAACATGTCATGGATACAAAAGGCATTCCATCCCTCACTCTTCTAACCATAATGTTAATGTGTATGTTCTTCAAACTGCTTTCACATTTACTGTGTCATTATCCATCTAAACAGCTCCGGTTATCTGGACACAATTTGCAGAAAGCAGATTTTTTACTGCTTAAAAAAAGGTTTTTTACTCTAGTTTCTAAGATAAAATTAATTTTTACTCTGCTGAATACCAAAAGATCCTAACTATGTGGGACATTTAAATTATTAGTAGTATATTTGGCATAAACTAAATTATACAATAGGTCTGCTAGAAAGCACTATCTCTTAGTTACGGTAGAAAACAGTAAATTCTGCAAACTTCTAACGATTAAGGGAAAAAAAACCACATCCGTAGCACCAAGCTGATTTTTTAATGTTTAACCAACTTTTACATTTCTAATTGGAACATATTATGAATCATCATTTCTCTATGTCCACATTTTTCCTCAGATACTTAATATCAAGAAACAAATTGTACAAATTCTATATAATCTATAGACTTTTGTAGTACATCTATCTTGGCATAACAGGAAAGAAGAGAGGCCCATTAAAAAGAGAGACTCAGGGGCCGGGCGCGGTGGCTCACGTCTGTAATCCCAGCACTTTGGGAGGCCAAGACGGGCAGATCACGAGGTCAGAAGATAGAGACCACCCTGGCTAACACGGTGAAACCCCGTCTCTACTAAAAATACAAAAATTAGCCAGGCGCGGTGGTGGGTGCCTGTAGTCCCAGCTACATGGGAGGCTGAGGCAGGAGAATGGCGTGAACCCGGGAGGCAGAGCTTGCAGTGAGTGGAGATCGCGCCACTGTACTCCAGCCTGGGCGACAGAGCGAGACTCCATCTCAAAAAAAAAAAAAAAAGATACACTCAGGAAAAAAGGAGGGATGGCATGTGATTTCTAGCAAGTTTCACACTCAGTGAAAGGAAATGGAGAAAAGGAAAAAACAAATTAATCCAGTATTCACTGAGCACCACTTAGGTGTTCTAACATTCTTAGAAGATTTGGGGAAAGACTAAACAAAATATTGTCTTCACCTTGTATACTCTGAGGTCTACGGGGGAAGCAAAGAAACAGATGGAAACATCACCAATCCATACAAGGAAGGATATATAAGTAAATATTCAATTATGTGGTGCAGACTGTAAGTGGTGTAGGAACTGAGAGTAAAGCAAGACTAATGAGAACTGGAGTTGTAAAATATATTATGAAGGAAGGCAGATCTCAGCTTACCCTGGCAGGATGAGCAGAAATAACAGAGAGGATAACCATGAGCAAGAACATAAGGGCAGGTTTCTTTCTTTTTTCAGTACTATTTGTAACAACTTGAAAATAAAAGCATTTTGATTAAATGATTTCAAACGTGAACATGGGATTAATATTTGAAGTACTCAGTGAATTAATGCCTTACCAAAAATATATATACAAAAAGTTCTAGCAAAAATTTTGAGTCCCAGATCTACCAATTCCCCTACCATTCATAACAATATATAATTTCACACTTCTGCATACAAACCTGTTTATCCTATATTATGCAATATGAGTATACTGGCATTTCAAACAAATACAGGAAGAAATGGGGTGGGATGAGGAATAACACCACAATGTTTAAGATAAATATTCCACTTCGCTGGTTAAAGTAGGGATTTGAGAGGGAAGGACAAAAAGATATTGATAGAGGCAGGGGACACCCAAATGCCTAGGCAGATAGGGAAAGACTCTCAGTTAAGAAAGAACTTAAGGCTGACTTAATTTTTCATCTCTGTACAAATTAGAAAAGGTTGTCTCACATATTTCACCCTTAAGAAGAGAAAAAATGTCCAACTATGTGAGAACTCCAAAAACAGATGGAGTATCTGAGGCAAATAATATGCTAGAAAGCAATCCAATAAGGGCTCCTATAAGAATATTCAAATGATCACTCTTTGAAAAAGGCAACACAGCAGGACATTGCTTTAGATACAGTGAGATAACCAGAAGAATTATAATTTCCATTGTTCAGATGAGGATCCAAAATACAACTTATTTATTGAGGATCCAAAATCCAATTTATTTATTTATTTATTTAAAATGTCTCACTTTGTCACCCAGATTGGAGCGCAGTGACAAGATCTTGGCTCACTGCAACCTCTGCCTCCTGGATTCAAGTGATTCTTGTGCTTCAGCCACCTGAGTAGCAGGGATTACAGGTGAGTGCCACCACGCCCGGTTAATTTTTGTAATTTTAATAGAGACACTGGTTTCACCACATTGGCCAGGCTGGTCTCAAACTCCTTGCCCTCAGGACTCCTGGCCTCAAGTTATTGGCCCACCTTGGCCTCCCAAAGTGCTAGGATTACAGGTGTGAGCCACCGCGCCAAGCCCATACAACACATTTAAACGACCTTTTTTTTTGTTTTTGTTTTTGTTTTTAAGCTTCCACGTCAGTGTTTTACTGAGACCAGCATTGGGGCATATGAGACACAAGGAATCCAGCTCTGTTCCCTAGAAGCCATCCACAAGGTTTTCCTTGTAGACGTCATCACTCTAGACAATCTGGGTCCTCTTGTCCCGGTGGCAACCCTTAGGGCTGTTCTGGACAGCAAGGGAGCCCCAGACAGACTTGCCAGTAGCGGCATCCAGCATGGGCTGTTTCCCGGCTATGTTGACTTTGAGCTGTACAGACTCCACCTGGGTCCCGTTGAGCTCAGCAACCGCCTGATCTGCTGACTCCATCTTTTCATAGGTGACGAAGGCACAGTTTCTGGGTGAGTCCATGGAGAGGTCAATGATGTTTCCAAAAGGAGAGAAGGCCCCACAGAGAAGGGCAGGCATCAAGTCTTCTCCATATACATAGAGAGTATTCCCTTTCCTAGGGGCTCGCCGTTCAAGGAATGAGTCCGACCTGCGGAAAGGACCCTCTCGGTCTCGGTCTCAATGCCGCTCCGGATCCCAATCCCTGTCCGGTTCCCGGTCTCGATCTCGATCCCAATCCCTGTCCCATTGCCGGTCTCAATCTCGATCCCGATCCCTGTCCTGCCCTCGGTCTCTATCTCGATCCCGGTCTCGATCCTGCTCCCGATCTCGGTCTCTGTCCCGGTTCCTCTCATGGTTGCGGCTTCGGGGAGGGGAGGCTGAGGAGTGGCCACCACTGCGTTCTTCAGAGCCCCAGTCAAAGCTTCAAGGGGACCATCGCCAGCCCCTGGGCCCTCTGCCTCTTCTCCATCTGGCCCTAGTTCTCAAAGTCGATCACTAGAAGACACAAAGCTTTCATACAGAGATTTCCTCTAGGGACGTCTGGATGACTCTCGCAGGTTCAGCAGATACGCTCCTCTGGAACGGCTGGAAAGTGGGAACTGGTCCCTTCTCGGGGTCCTTTAACTTCCCCTCAAGGGTTTGAGAACGCTTGAAGCCTGAGTTCTTGGTCTCAGCCTTGATGGCACTGATGGCTCCCGACTTCACCAGCTGCTTTGCCTGCTCTGTTGCTGTGGCTGTGTCCACGACAGGCTGCTCTGATAGTGAGCGTTTGACACCGCCTTGGCTGGTTGTGCTGCTGCTACTTTGCTTCTTCAGAGTCAGCAGTGCCTTTTTCTTTTTCTTGAGTTTGTTGAATTTCTTCTGCAGAGCCTCCTCTTCCTCGCTCAGTCCGGAAGCCACCAACATGGTGGCTCCTGAGGGGGCGGCCACTGCAGGCCCCACGGTCTCCGGCCGCGCCCGCGCTGGCCGCTGATAGCGGGCTCACAACGATGACCTAAACGACCTGTTTTTGTTCACAGTGCTAGTAATTAGAAGGAATGCAAATCGAATTCTGATATTTTATATTTTGGTTTCTATTATCACTTGATTTTTTCAGAAGAATAAATAATATTATAAAGAATACTCATTATAATAACTTCCTTCTTTCTCATTATAAATCTACTTGGCTCACTTAGGCAAATACTTTTTTTTAATTGATCACCAACCAAATAGCTATAACACTTCAAAAAAAGGACTTAAGAGCTGTCTAAGCCAACTTACTAATGTTCTAGTTGGGGAAATGATCTAAGTGACTGCCCAAAGATACACAGCAATTCAGTGACAGAGAAAGTTCAAAACAAATAATTTAAACTGTGATGATTCTAGTTCTTCAAACACTACTTCTAAGTATTCTTAGATTTTTTTTTTTTCCTGAGCTTGCTTGCTAATTACTCTGTGTTTTAAGCATACTTCAGTTTCTCCAGCTTATTTCCCAATCACATAGGGATCCAATTCTACTCATATGTTGCATTTCTAAATGTACAATGCTACTTTCAGTCTGGTCCTAGAATTAAAATAATTCAATAGTCTCTAAACTAATCTTTTTATCAGAGTTACAGATCATTCATTAAAGGGCAGGAAGAAGATACATTATGTTCATATTTGGTTTTCATTTCATTGTTTGCTAGGCTAACATATTCGTTTAAAAATATATTCAAGGTATTTTTAAATGTTTTGGGGGAAGTGTCTTCTTTCAGAATATATACACATGTTTTAAAACAAATGCCATCTTTTGATATGAACTAATTAAACTAGAATCCAGTACAACCAAAATACTACCGTAGCATATAATTTGTGTCTTTTTAGAAAAGAAATATTCCTAGTGTGTTCAAGAAAAGACTATAAATCATTACACTGTGTTTATTTCATATTTCCCATGATACCATTTACTCTAGCTTTTAGCCTTTTATGTGACATTGAGCCATTTTGCAGTTATAAAACAGTTGAAAAGAATGACCTGTTAATTTGACAGGGATGCATTATAATATCTCTCTCTGGCACTATAATATTTTAATTTCTTTTCTGAAGACAAACCAGTTGGAAAGTGACCATCTGCTAGTATGTTAGTATTATTTAGGCAAAGTAATGAACAAATGTCCTCCTTTGCAGTAAGAAGAAGATGACTAAATGAAAGAAATCCAGGGTGAACAACTGAAACAGATTGATTCAATGCCATGTAAAATGCCTTTTTCATTATTTATTTACAACTCAAACAACAGCATTTTAAAACATGCATTGATAGTATAAATAAATCTTCTGAAATCTACTTTTTACACTCACCCAAGAAATATATTACAAAGCAAACAATTAAAAATAAAACTTTCTATCAATTCTTCTCATATAATTTCTTCAACATCTATTTAAACATAGATAGGCTGTCCCCATCATAAACACCTTTCAAACATGTGATTTCAAAAATGTAAACACAGTAACTTAAATTTCTCAGGTTGCTATTTTTTTCATGTATTTTGAAACATTTTCCAAAAATATATGCCATCCACATTCAATGAGTTAAGAGATATTTATTTACCAATAAATTATTACAGGAATGTCAAATTAATTAATAAATAGATATCTGATCTTAATTATGGGTAATTTCTCTGTATGTATAAATGTGGATCCTACAGTAAGTACATAAGCTGTGTACCTAATGAGAAACTCCTTCATGTTAGATACGTTAAGGGAAAAGAGCAAAGCATGTCACTGAAATACTCTTCTTGTGCCTGAGGGAAGTGCTTTGAACATGAAAGATTTGCATACTTGGAAAGCTATGGCTTCCCTGAATCTCTGGAAAGCTTACCAGATGAGAGTAAACTTACAAAACTGTAGTCCAATTTTTAGGAGCAGAAACTATAAATGCTTATTCATTACAACTGCATAGTATTCTAGTATAGCAAACAAATGGAAAATTATGGATTTTTATAATAAACATTCGTAGCCAGTTTTTTAAAAATCTGTAAACATGAATTTACTGAGATTTTTCTTTCAAATAAGATTAAACTGGCTATGTCAACCCTGACTTATGATTAACACCGGGTAAACATTTTAAACGGATTTAATTGCTATTAAGCAGATAAGTCACACTCAATAACTTCTAAAGGTAAGCTATCCATATAACTACCTATAAATGGCAGTAGCTAGGTTTCTTTTAAAGTCTATCTCTAACTTGCCTTCCCCAAAATACCAAGAACTTTTATTTTTATTTTTTAACAAAACAAGGTTTTTAAAGCAAACAACCACCAAAAACAAACAAACAAACAAAAAAGCCATGTTTTGCATGTATTGTTCCTAGGTTTAATTTCAGTAAAATGTGGCTCTAAAAATAAATGTGATACACGCTACATAATTAAATATTCCTGGTTCATTCAGGTCAAACTAGGAATGTATGTTGTTCTTTGAGTATCTCCAGAACCCCAAGTACACACACATTAAAATACTGAAACAATTTACTGGCTCCTTCCATGACCTAACACTGATGTAGCATCTTACTATACGTATCAGGCAAGATTCTCAGTACTTTATGAATAATATTATAATTCCTTTAATCCTCCTAATAGTAATATTTTAATCCTCATTTTAAAGATATATAAAACAAAGCAAGAGAGGTTAAGTGGCCCAAGGTTATGAATAGAAGAACTGTGATTCAGACTTATTCAGACCAGCTCTAGATTATGCTCACAGCACTATGTTATGCCACCTTAGTCATGTCAATCGCAGCAATAAATTTTAATGCACAGAGGTGAAGACAAATATTCTTAAGTGGGAAAGTCAATCCTGAGAAATATATACTACTTTATGCCACCTTGACGTGAGAATATCTATTAAAACAAAATGTTGTTAATTCATGGACACTTCAATACAAACTATTAAAAAGGATGGCCAGGGAGACAGGAATAGGAGTTAAGGCTCAATATTGTAGAATGAGGGGTTGGGCAGGAGTGGTTAAGATGAGCACTCAGAGAATCCTGGCTCAGGGAAGGAATCTAATCTACTTTGAATTCCACTACATTAGAAAACCGAGGTTGTTGATAAACCTCAGCCACAGTCCACAGCTTGGAAACTATGGCTAAAAGTTTTTGAAGCTGAACTTCCACAAGTAGATTTAGCTGTGTAAAAGCTAAAGGTAGGGAATAACAATAAATGTCAAGAAATCTTAATAATTTTTCTCTAGTTTGAGGATTTGAGTTACCTGGATTCTGTCACTAAATTACTACCTTACCCTGAACAAAAACATCAAGTCTTGAACTACTCTGCATCTGATCCTTCGAGTCACAAATTAGGGTGTTGAATTATCAGCTTCAGAAAGCCCTTTCTAACTTCTACAAGTCTTTAACTTAGTCACTTTAGTTAAACAAGTACTTATTGATAGCCAGGTAACTCCACTTATTAATACATGAAAAGCTCTGTTAAGTACAAATCAGGGAGTTCTCTAGTGGTTTGAAAGGATTTAATAGAATCAGAGGAAATAGTAATTTTATAGCACATAGAATGAGTGTAAAAGGTCACATATTGTCTAGTATTATTAAGAGGTTTATAGCAAATTAAAATACTACAGATTACAATGTAAAGATATATCATAAAAACAAATATTGGGATTCTTAAGTATTATTTTATGACAGAGTATATATAAAATTATGATAAAAATAAATGATAAAAGGTATTTAACTTACAAGTATCCTCTTCAAAAAATATTTCAGAAATACATTCAAAGCATATAATAAAACCAATCTTAATTCCACTTTCGACCAGGCATCAAAAACTCTACATTTTTAATGTATTTATTTCATATAAAGTCTTATATGAAATATAAAGCACTGATAACTCTTTAAAAAATATTCTAAAAATTAGCTCAAGTATGGTAACTTTGGTAAAATGTCCAACTTTTTACAATACCTTAACCATTTATTGAAAAACCAAAACATGATAATTCTCAAGGTCTAGACTCTTAGAAGTAGACTTGTTTTACAAGCACTTTTTATACAGTATTCTCCTTATGCACTTTAAAAAGTTGAACTACTATAGCAAATGCATAATTGATTTATAAGGGAAAAAGTTCAAGTGAAGGACATACTATTAACTGTGCATTAGAGAGACGGGGTGGAGGAAAATGTACCTCTCTGGAACATTTTGAAAGCAATGATTACAAAAATGCAAATGCCAGATACAGGTGATGCTTTCCACTTCACAGCAGCACCTAAGTCACACACAAACCCTAAGCCCCCTCCAAAAACAATAACAAAAGGACAGACTACATATCAAGCTACAAATAAAAGGCAAGTGTTTTTCCATTATGGACATGTAAGAAGAGTGCTACACTTAATTAGTATTTTAAAGAGTAAGATTTAACTGTTGTTCCAAATTTATCCAAGTACATCAAGAATCTGGTCACAACATGGTACAATATAAATAGATTCAAACATATCACAGTTAAAAATCCTACATAACAATGAACAATGCTATTAACAATCTAATGGAATATAACATACTCATAATGTTTCTGTCGCTGAAAAGCATTAGAAAGCCGTTTTAATCAAATTTTGCTTCCTAAATTCTGAAATTCTGTATTTTGTTAAATGACAGAAATAGATCTTTATTTTCCTATACATTTTTTTCATCCCAAACCCATACGAATAACTACTCCAGCCACTCAGTTTTCAACCCAACACTATAAGACAAGCATTATTAGGGAAGCGGGCCGGCAGTTGTTCACTCTGTCATATCCCTTTAATGCAACTCTGATTTGCCTTTGTTCTGACGGTAGCAAACAACTACTTAAAAATGACCCAGCATCACTGGGCTGCCTCCCATTATTCCACACTTTTGTTTGACAAGGTCACTTGCAGCAGAGATTTTGGGGAGAAAGAGTGTGCAGCCTATAGAAATAAGAGTTTAAGACACAGGCAACGCAGCCATTTTTCCTCTGGCAGCACAAGCAAATTAAAACTTTAAAAAGAAGGTCAGGTACAGTAGCTCACACCAGTAATCCCAGCATGTTGGGAGGCTGAGGCGGGTGAATCACCTAAGGACAAGAGTTTGAGACCAGCCTGACCAATGTGGTGAGACCTGTCTCTACTAAAAATGCAAAAATTAGCTGGGCATGGTGGTATGTGCCTGTAATCACAGCTACTAGAGAGGCTGAAGCAGGAGAATCGCTTGAACCCAGGAGGCAGAGGTTGCAGTAAGCTGAAATGGCGCCACTGTACTCTAGCCTGGGCTACAGAGCAAGACTCCATCTAAAAAAAAAAAAAAAGAAGAAGAAGAAGAAATGAAAGGGAGACGAGAGGAGGGGAGGGGAGGGGAGGGGAGGGGAGGAGGCAAGACAAGACAGACAGACAGAAAGAAAGAGAGACAGAAGGAAAGGAAGGAAGGGAGAGAGAGAAAGAAAAAAGAAAAGAAAAGAGAAAAGAAAAAGAAAGAAAGAAGAAAGGAAGGAAGGAAGGAAGGAAGGAAGGAAGGAAGGAAGGAAGGAAGGAAGGAAGGATTGATTGATTCAGGAAGAAAGCAAGTGGAGAAACATTTCGGAAAAACTCAAGGATACACTTTCAGCTTTATCTTGGTTTTAACTTTCAATAAAAATTTAATTTATGACTAATTTCATTAAGAGGAAAACAGACAGGTACCTCTAGGTACCTTTGTAATTCCATCAACTTCATAATTCCATCAGATGTTGACTGTTACTTTTGATAAATTTTACACAATATATAAATCAATCTGAAACTTATAGGTAAAATGTTTAATCAATATTCCGCCAAGGTTCCAAAAGGTACAACTGACACTATAAAGCATGGGTCCCCTTTAATTTTCAGCTTGACCTATGATCTTCGGAAGGGCTTAAAGCTACATTACGACAATTTCATACAATTAAGTTGTTTCCAAAGGGAGCCATGAAGACTGAAATGGCAAGTTTTCAATGCCATGGAAGAATGTGAAGAAGGAATGTTGCAGGAGCTACCCAACCAAAACAAATCATGATTTTGTGATTTTGAAAGTTTATGAGTGGGAAAAGATCTAAGAAACTCTTTACACATTTTTAGGATAAAACTCCCTAAACATGACATAGAAATCTGAAGTTAAATAGTTATTGACAAATATTTATCACTCCTCCATCTTTTTTACCTACATATATAATTAGAGAGCTTTGTACATTTTTCATCTTGATATGTAACCATCAGAAGGAATATGAGTCAATAGTAAATTTCAATATTTTATTAATGCTTAACTAAAATAAAACAAATTCTTTTCAGCAACTTTGGCACTTTGGATGTGTTTGTTGGTAAGAATTAGATATTTCCATATGAGGGGTGGGACTAAGAATCAATTGATTACACCTTAATTGACCTCATTTTCTATTCAAAGATTATGATAATATTAATAGAATATACTATTCAAGTTTTTAAATAATTTCCAGCCTCCCTCCATCCAACATGATCAGCAAATTTTACCAGTTCTTGTCTCATGTAGAAGGAATTTCAATTCTAAAACTGTTCTGATTACCATAGCTGGGTTGATGTTATATACCTTGTAAGGGCTACTCCATTTTCTGTAATTCTTAGCCATACACTCTGATCTATCATTTATAATGTTCAAGTAAAATGGGTTTTTTACATTTCAGTCAGAATTGCCTCTTTACTGTCAAAACACATTTACAAAGTACCAAATTTATAGACATAAAGAAATAAGTATTATAACTAAACTGTATTCAAATTATCCAGTGCTAACAAGTATTCACATAGTAAAAAAATAAAAAGAGGCTAATGATAATCCTTTATGACAGCCTTCACTTTCACAGAAAGATTTAAACACTCTAGTAGTTCACTATTAAGAGTATAGGACAGAAGATTTTCAGTTTCATTTATATTCAAAGCAGAGAAATCACCAAAACTCATTTACATCTCTCCATTTTCCTTACAGCATGTTAACAGCAGGTGGTCAATACCATTTTGGAACTAGGTAGGTGGCTTAAAATGACTTTACATGTCAAGAGCCTGAATTAAAAACAAAAGTGAGCTTTAACTTCATTTTCATTTTAATCTACATTCTATATACTGATTTCATACTACAAATTTGCTCATTTTAATCCATGTTCTTCAGAGAGTTAAGTATTATTTAAGCTGATATAGCTGAAAAAAAGCCAGTAAGAAATTGTGTTTCTGATATTCATATTTAACTTTACTTATTTTTGCACACAACAAACCTTTTAGCTCTCCTTTATACTGATGAACACTAAAAGACATTAACACCATCACAATAGGAAAATCATGACTATACTGTTTATGTACTAGTCCTTAAAAATCCAGAAAAATATCTATGTAGATATGTATAGCTAAGTGTCCTCTCTTGGCAATGACTTTTTAGAAATAATGATATAAAATAATTCAAATAATTTTCAAGGACATATGCCTCCTTCTACTTAGTCTGACATGTGAGTATTACATCAGCCAAACTGAAACACAAAAGTCCAATCAGCACCAACACTTGATTAATCTCTCTCTGATTATCAGAGAGATTAATTTGTCCAGTGACAAATTAATACTTAAAATCAATGAGAAATGAGGTAAGACCTATTGAAATATGTGAACTGAAAAGTATATTTTATTTTTCATCTTCCAGCAATAATGTAGTCACTTATGTTTACCATTTGACTAGACAATAACACTGTCTTCAATCCTAAGCCAAAAGAACAAAGCTGGAGGCATCATGCTACCTGACTTCAAACTATACTGCAAGGCTACAGTAACCAAAACAGCATGGTACTGGTACCAAAACAGAGATATAGACCAATGGAACAGAACAGAGCCCTCAGAAATAATACCACACATCTACAACCAACTGATCTTTGACAAAACTAACAAAAACAAGAAATGGGGAAAGGATTCCCTAATTAATAAATAGTGCTGGGAAAACTGGCTAGCCATATGTAGAAAGCTGAAACTGGATCCTTTCCTTACATTTTATACAAAACTTTAATTCAAGATGGATTAGACTTAAATGTCAGGCCTAAAACCATAAAAACCCTAGAAGAAAACCTAGGCAACACCATTCAGGACATAGGCATGGGCAAGGACTTAATGCCTAAAACACCAAAAGCAACAAAAGTCAAAATTGACAAATGTGATCTAATTAAACTAAAGAGAAACTACCATCAGAGTGAACAAGCAACCTACAGAATGGGAGAAAATTTTTGCAATCTACCCATCTGACAAAGGGTTAATATCCACAATCTACAAAGAACTTAAACCAATTTACAAGAAAAAATCAACCCCATCAAAAAGTGGATGAAGGATATATGACACTTCTCAAAAGAAGACATTTATGCAGCCAACAGACACATGAAACAATGCTCATCATCACTGGTCATCACAGAAATGCAAATCAAAACCACAATGAGATATCATTTCACACCAGTTAGAATGGTGATCATTAAAAAGTCAGGAAACAAAAGGAACTGGAGAGGATGTCGAGAAATAGGAACACTTTTACACTGTTGGTGGGATTGTAAACTAGTTCAACCATTGTGGAAGACAGTGTGGCAATTCCTCAAGGATCTAGAACTAGAAATAATACCATTTG